ACTTACCTGCCCGTACCCTCCGTTCCTCTGGCTCCGGTCTCCTCCACATCCCCCGCCCCAACCGCCCTACCATCGGTGGTCGGGCCTTCAGCCTCTCAGCCCTGAGGCTCTGGAACTCCATCCCCCAGTGCCTTCGCCGCTTCCTCCCTTTCCTCCTTCAAGGCCGGTCTCAAGACCTTTCTCTTTGACCGTGCCTTCAGCTCCCCTCTCGACTCTCTACCCCCTCCTCGCCCCTCCCTTCGCTCCCCTCACCCTGACCTTTTCCCCCTCCTCGCTCCCTCCCTTCCCTCCCCTCACCCTGACCATTTCCCCCCAATGCTCGGGTCCTGACCCAACTGTCCAGCGCCTTGGGACGTCCTCCTGACGTGAAAGGCGCTCTATAAATGGAATCTTGTTGTTGTTGTTGTTGATCTGAGGGGTGGCGAGTGAGGCAGGGTTACTATTTCATCTCCTGCTTTTACAACGATTGTATTTGAATCCCTGAGTTTTCCTTGACTCCCCTCTTCCTGTCGTCATACTGAAAAAAATGTTTCACATTCAATTCCCTTCAGGTAATCCAGGTCCATTTCTTATCCTTGATGCCCAGTGACCACAGGTTGTGAATCAATCTCTCATGTGGTACTTTGGCAAACCCTTTTGGAAGTCTAGATACACTACATCATTTGACCTCCAACTGTCAATCTGGACTATCACCTTCTCATAGGGTCTATGAGATTGGTCAGACAAGACCTACCCTTTCTGAACCCATGTTGGCTGTCAATTATTAGGCTATTTTTATATGGGTAATCTTCCACTTCCTTTCTGATGATTGACTCCAGCATAATTCCTATTATTGAGGTCAGGCTGATGGTCTGATAGTTGCCAGGTTTAGTTTAGTCGCCTTTCTTGAATATGAGAACAACATTTACTGCTTCCAAGTCCGTTGGAATCTCCCCAGCCCTGATTCCCTTCATCATGATATCTGCCAGCGTGGCCAAATCTTCTACCTTGTCTCCCTGAGTACCCTGGCTACAGTTTATCCTTCCCAAGGCATTTATTGGTTTTAAGTTCCTTGAGCCTATCCAGAATCTCAGCCTCACTTGTGTCACTTGTCTGAAGTCCTGGAGCTCACTATTTGCTGCTGTTAGGGGTAAAACCATTCAATAGAAGTAACCATTTAATGTGTTTATTATTCTCTCGTTCATTCTCTTTTCAATCCCACTTCAATCTTCACATCTTCGCTGATTACCTCTTAACATTGTGATATTGAAAACATTTTGGGGAGGATTTATGTTTTGCCTTTGCGTATGTCCCTTCCCAATCCGCTCTTGGCTCCCTAATCTCTTTATAACCTCTTTCTGTATAGTCTTGAGTTCAACCAAGACCCCGCCCTCGCCTCTGCTAAATGTCCTTCTACTCCCGGATGATCCTGAAGACCAAGAGCATTCCAGGCTCCTCTTATCCACCACATACCAGCTCCTCCTTCTCATCCCTCGCCAGTCCTCTCCCCCAACTCCAAATGTCAGGAGATGCTGGACTTCCTTGGGCCCAAATTCATGAGGATGCGCTCGGCTGTTTCTGCCCTTGTACTGACTCCCCTAGTCCCTTATTTATGCTTTCACCTCTTCCGGGCTTGACTACACTAATTCCCTGCTCATCAGACTTCCCAACTCTTTCCTCCACAAGCTACAGACTTTCCAGAACTCTGCAGCTTTTGTCCTCTCCTGCACCAGGCTCCATGACCCTATCACCTCCATCCTGGCCCGGTTCTACTGGCTCCCCATCTCCCAGAGGATAGAGTTCAAAATCCTTGTCCTCACTTTTAAATCAATCCACGGTCTTGTTCCTCCACACCCTTCTTAAATGCTACCAACCGCTCTGCTTGGGCAGGCTGTTTCCCTGCCCACCTCACCATCGGTGGTCAGGCCTTCAGCCTTTCTGCCCCCACCCTCTTGAACTCCAACCTGGAGCCCCTCCATCTCGCCCCCTCCCTTGCCTCATTCAAGGTCCGTCTTAAGTCATCTTCCCACCCCACCTCCCTCTCAAATCAAACCGCCAGCTCTAGTGTAAGCCCTCAACTGTCCAGCACCTTGGGACATCCTCTGGACTTGAAAGGCGCTATACAAATGTAATTTTGTTGTTGTTGTTGTTGGGTTTCTGTGTGTTAGCGAGCCGGTGACCAAAGCAAGCTCTTGGATTGTGAGGCTCTCAGTGTCTGTCGCAGTGCAGTGCGTGGCCACTTGAGAGCACCATTACTCTATACCAGGTCTTACCTGGAGGCCTCAATCTCCATTGTGGGGAGATATTATGAGCAACACGTTTGTGGGATCATCCCAACACAGGTTGCCACGGTAACTCAGGCAGTTTGTCAGGCAACTTAGCAGCCTATAACAATAGACATTAATGCACAAATTAATGGCCATTGAGGGTGCAACACTATTGTTAATAGTTAAAGAGGAATATAGAGGTTGCAGTGCCAACTCCATGGATGAATGTGCCTATTTGTGCAGAAACATTCTGTCTCTTCAAGATCCACGTTGGGGACTCTGAGCTCACAGTCCAGGCTGACTCTCCAGTGCAGTGGTTGGGAAGCTCTCCATTGTCGGAGGTGCTGTCCTTTTGATGAGACGTTAAACTGAGGGGAAAGGACTGTTTGCTTGTTCAGGTGGATGTTAAAGATCTCATTGGAAAAGAGAAGGGACGTTCTCTCTCACAGTGTCCTGGCTGACAACACCCACAGATGGGGGAGGAGTCAATTCCCCTCTCCTACTATTCTGCTCTCCTACACTCTTCTATTTCCCCGCCCTGCACCCCTCTATTCCCCTCTCCTACACCCCTCGTCTATTCCACCTCTCCTACACCCCTCCATTGCCCTCTCCTATCTCCCTCTATTCCTCTCTCCTACATCTCTTTATTCTCCCCTCCTATACCCCTCTATTCTTCCCCCTACACCTCTCTATTCCCCTCTCCGTCTCGGCAATGTCATCCGCAGACATGGGGTCAACTTCCACATGACACCCAAATTTACTTCTCCTCCTCGAGCTGCAAATTCCAATCCGCCGATGTCCTGTCAGCTTGTTTGATGGACGTCAAGGCCTGGATGAGTGCAAATTTCCTGCAGTTGAATGTCGGCAAGACGAAAGCCATACTCTTTGGCTCCCGTCAGTGTCTTCTCTTCTGCGGGTTTGATCTCCTCAACCTCCCCAGGCTCTCTCTCAGATACTCCAAAGCTGGGAGCAACTTAGGTGTCCGGTTCGATCCCCAGCTTTCCTTTCTACCCCACATCCGTTTCCTGACCACGAACCCTTTTTTCCACCTCCACCACATTGCCCGTCTCCGTCCGTACCTCACAACCTATGCAGCTGAAACCCTTGTCCACGCCTTCGTCCCGGCTGGACCATACCGATCCCCTCCTCGCTGGTCTCCCCAGCTCCACCATGCACAAAATCCAATTCATTCAAAACTCCGCCGCCTGGATCCTTACCCGCACAAAACTCCATCCCCCCATCAGACCAATCCCTGCCAGGCTCCACTTGCTCCCAATTACCGAACAGATCGATTTCAAAATCCTCACTCGTTTCCAAATCATTTAATTCCCTCGCACCTCTCTACCTACCCGACTGCTTATCCCCACTCCACCACCTGCTGCCTCCGCTCGGCCGCCTCCCCTCGGCCGCCTCCCCTCGGCCGCCCCCCCTCGGCCGGCTCCCCTCGGCCGCTTCCGCTCGGCCGCCTCCCCTCGGCCGCCTCCCCCTCGGCCGCCCTCCCCTCGGCCGCCCCCCCCCCCCCCTCGGCCGCCTCCCCTCGGCCGCCCCCCCTCGGCCGCCTCCCCTCGGCCGCCCCCCCTCGGCCGCCCCCCCTCGGCCGCCCCACCTCGGCTGCCTCCGGCCCCTTATTTGTCCCTCGTGGCCTCTGTACCTCTGTCTCAAGGCTCGACTATGGAAACTCCCTCCTTCTCGGCACAACTCACAAGACCATTCCTTCTCATACCCTCTCTGCCCTCCTTCATCCCAACGCTGACCCCCCCCCCCCCCCCCCATGCTCGGGTCCTGATCCCCAACGTAACTTTGTTGTTGTTGTTGTACCGGCGGTGGCTATGCCCTCAGGCACCACACCCCAACACTCTGGAACTCTCTCTCTCCCTCTCCCCTTTGGTTCATTGCCACTGTGAAGTGCTCCGGGTCGCTCCCCCGCGTGAAGGGCGCTATATAAATGCAGGTAGTTATTGTTCTCCATCTCTCTATTCCCATCTCCTCCCCCCCTCCTCTATCCTGTCCTCCCCACTCTCCCCACCTCTTATACCCTCTTTTCCCCTCTCCTCTTCCCTCTCGTGCTCTCAGTGCCAGGCTGCCATATGCCACTGTGGGCGGGTGGTGGCGCTGTGGGCGGGAGGTGGCGCTGTGGGCGGGAGGTGGCCCTGTGGCCGGGAGGTGGCGCTGTGGCCGGGAGGTGGCGCTGTGGCCGGGAGGTGGCGCTGTGGGCGGGAGGTGGCGCTGTGGGCGGGAGGTGGCGCTGTGGGCGGGAGGTGGCGCTGTGGGCGGGAGGTGGCGCTGTGGCCGGGTGGTGGCGCTGTGGCCGGGTGGTGGCGCTGTGGCCGGGAGGTGGCGCTGTGGTGGCGCTGTGGCGCTGTGGGCGGGTGGTGGCGCTGTGGCGCTGTGGGCGGGTGGTGGCGCTGTGGCGCTGTGACCGGGCGGTGGCGCTGTGCTGTGGCGCTGTGACCGGGCGATGGCGCTATGACCGGGCGGTGGCGCTGTGGCCGGGAGGTGGCGCTGTGGTGGCGCTGTGGGCGGGTGGTGGCGCTGTGGTGGCGCTGTGGCGCTGTGGGCGGGTGATGGCGCTGTGGCGCTGTGGGCGGGTGATGGCGCTGTGGCGCTGTGACCGGGCGGTGGCGCTGTGGGCGGGTGGTGGCGCTGTGGCGCTGTGACCGGGCGGTGGCGCTGTGCTGTGGCGCTGTGACCGGGCGGTGGCGCTGTGCTGTGGCGCTGCTCTTCATGACCGTTTCATTACGTCCCCACGTGGGTGTCACGTGGCCACAGTCTGACCGTCGGCCTATAAAGTGCGGCTCCGCTATTCGCGGCGACACTGCGCGAGAACAGAGACCGTGAGCGGCAGTTACTAACATCGCGTCAGCGCCACAGGTACTGAGCACCGCTCACACTGCGGAGTCTGTGCACTGTGTGTGTGTGTTGCACAGTGTGTGTGGTACTGTGTGTGTGGTACTGTGTGTGTGTGTGTTGTACAGTGTCTGTGGTACAGTGTGTGTGTAACTGTGTGGCACAGTGTGTGTGTGTGTGGCACAGTGTGTGTGTGTGGTACAGTGTGTGTGTGTGTGGCACAGTGTCTGTGGTACTGTGTGTGTGTGGCACAGTGTCTGTGTGGTATAGTGTGTCTGTGTGTTGCACGGTGCGCGCGCGTGTTGCACGGTGCGCGCGCGTGTTGCACGGTGCGCGCGCGTGTTGCACGGTGCGCGCGCGTGTTGCACGGTGCGCGCGCGTGTTGCACGGTGCGCGCGTGCTGGTGCTGCGGTGGGGCACGCGTGCCGGTGCGCTTGCGTGCATGTGTTGTGTGGTGCGTCCGTGCACATGCGTCCGTGTGGTCCGTGCGCCCTGTGTTGCACTGGGCAATGCGCACACATAGGTTTGCATGGCGTGGGCACGCTGTACGGCGTGGGCATGCTGCATGGGCATGTGTGCTTCACAACACGCAGACGTGTTGCACAGCTGGCGAGCTGCACAGTGCAGGCGGGTGGGTGTATTACACACATTGTGTGTTGCACAGTGTAAATACAGCGAACAGTGTATTTGTGGTGGGACAGTGATGGGGACTGTGCAGGTGTGCAAGGTGTACACTGTGCGAGTGTGCACGTGACACAATGTGTATAGTGTGGGGTGGTAGAAAGACAAGTGTGCGCGTGGCGTGAGAGGAATACCATGTTTGCGCGCACAAACGAGGTATCCGCAGACACCTCGCATGAGTGTGCCCATATATAGCACATGTGTGGTATACAGTATGTACCCACACTCGCTCAAGGTGTAGTGTGTGTGTGATGTAGTGCGTCGCGTGTGGTGTACAGTATTGTCTCATGCATGCGTGTGTGGTGTACAGTATGTATGCTCGTGTATGTAGTGTACATTTTGTGTGCAAGCATGTGTGTATGTTATACAGTGTGTGCATGTGTGGGCGCTCGAGAGTGGGGTGCACAGTGTGTATGCGTGCAGTGTGTGACAGTGTGCGTGCGCATGAGGAGTACAGTGTGTGGTTATCTAATATAGAGTGTGTGATGTGTGTTTGCATGTGTAAAGTAGTGTGTGTGCGGGGTGTGCAGTGTGTGTGCGGGGTGTGCAGTGTGTGTGCGGGGTGTGCAGTGTGTGCGTGCGGGGTGTGCAGTGTGTGCGTGCGGGGTGTGCAGTGTGTGTGCGCGGGGTGTGCAGTGTGTGCGTGCGGGGTGTGCAGTGTGTGTGCGCGGGGTGTGCAGTGTGTGAGTGCGGGGTGTGCAGTGTGCGTGTGCGGGGTGTGCAGTGTGCGTGTGCGGGGTGTGCAGTGTGCGTGTGCGGGGTGTGCAGTGTGCGTGTGCGGGGTGTGCAGTGTGCGTGTGCGGGGTGTGCAGTGTGCGTGTGCGGGGTGTGCAGTGTGCGTGTGCGCAGTGTGCGGGGTGTGCGGGGTGTGCAGTGTGCAGTGTGCGGGGTGTGCAGTGTGCGGGGTGTGCAGTGTGCGGGGTGTGCAGTGTGTGTGTGCGGGGTGTGCAGTGTGTGTGTGCGGGGTGTGCAGTGTGTGTGTGCGGGGTGTGCAGTGTGTGTGTGCGGGGTGTGCAGTGTGCGTGTGCGGGGTGTGCAGTGTGCGTGTGCGGGGTGTGCAGTGTGCGTGTGCGGGTGGTGTGCAGTGTGCGTGTGCGGGGTGTGCAGTGTGCGTGTGCGGGGTGTGCAGGTGTGCGTGTGCGGGGTGTGCAGTGTGCAGTGTGCGGGGTGTGCAGTGTGCGGGGTGTGCAGTGTGCGTGTGCGGGGTGTGCAGTGTGCGTGTGCGGGGTGTGCAGTCTGTGTGCGGGGTGTGCGTGCGGGGTGTGTGGTTGATGTACAGTGTGTGTGTGTGTTTGTGTGTGTGTGTAATTGGTGTGTGCGTGTGCACACTGAAAGATGGTGGGTTTGGCATGTCCAGGTATCACGGTGTGTAATGGCTGTTGGCGGGGGCTGCGGTGGCATGCAATGGCTGGTTGCGATGTGTGATGGACACAGCTCAGTGCTCGGCGCTAACACAGGGCTGGTGGGGGGTGGAGGGGTGGGGCTGCTATCCGCTGTCTGTATGTGTAATGATCGGGATTTTCTTTTATAGTCCTTTATTTCGTGAAAGATGCGGATTTCTCGCTGCTTCCTGTTTCTGTTTCAAAAAAAGTTGTGTAGTAGCAGTCCGCAGATGTGGCGATCTCAACATGTATGTGACTGTCAGCCGGGGTGGTGCGGGTCATGATGGGGGCTGATCACTGGGCAGGGAGGGGAGGGGAGGGGGCATTGCATGCTTGTGATGGCTGTGTTTGGTGGGGGCAGGTCTGCATGTTTGGGGTGCATGCGGTGTGTGTGTGGGGATGGAGGATTGCTTGCTGATTTATTATTATTATTATTATTATTGCTGATCTCTGTCTTGATCATACAACAATGTCTCTCTCTCTGATGTTTTTATGATCAAATCCTAGTGATCCCCTTCCCCGTTCCTCCTCCTACACTCTTGATTCAAATGTCACCTTTCTTCCTTTGTGATTTGCTGACAGAATATGGTGGGGAGAGGCAAAGGAGAGCGAAGCCCTCTCCCCTCCGTTCCTCTCCTTCTCTCTCTTCCTCTCCTCCTCTCCCCTCCCTTCTCTCTGTCTCTTGGTTTCGTTTACTCTATGTCTTACTCTCTCCATCTATGTGCGTGTGCGTCTCTATATTTCACTCACTGTAATGTGTGTGTGTGTATATATATCCGTGTCTCACTTTCTCTGAAGCTCTGTATCTATCCCTCTCTGTCTCTGACTCCCTCTCTGTCGTTCTCTCTTTTTTTCTCTCTCTCTCCTTCCCACTCTCTTTCTGTCCTGCTCTCTCACTCTATCTTTGTGTATCGGTGTGTTTCCACACACATTTATAGCTCAGAAGAATGCCATTCCGCCCGTGTTGTTTGCCTCTATCTGTTCAAACCCACCGTTTCCGCTCCCAGGTTATTCTCCCTTACAAATCTCTCTACTTTCCTCTGAAAGCGGTCTGGACACCGCCAGCAGACATCCCACAACAACAACAACAACTTGCACTTAGACAGCACCTTTCTTGTTCTATAAGGTCTGAGTGCTGTACAGGGCAGGGACACAACTCTGTGTGTGTAAAATACTTTTCCTAATGTTGAATTGATGGTCCCTGCGCAGTGACTCGCCTTTCTCCCTGTTGACTCGTTTTAAACTCAGCTTCTTTATTATTCAGTAAACATTGTCCCAGTTCTTCCCCCAGTCTCTGCTCATCAGTCAACCCACTCATCCTGGTCACCATCCAAGTAAATCTCCTCTCGTTCTCACTCTCTCCGGCTGCCAGCTTTCCCAGTGGGGTGACCAACACTGGACATAATGCACTAACTGTGGTCTCACTGATGATTAATGCCGATAGAACTGCACCTCTTTGGTTTCGTGTTATACATCACTACTGTATTATATACTTTGGGATCCCATTGGCCCTCTTCACTGCTCTATTCACCGCCTTTCCCACCTTGAAATACAGAATTTCCAAACGTGTTAACCCCTTGCATTCTCCTCCTTTGCTCCTTTTAACGTAACATTTACCAGGTTGTTAGTTTACACATCTCCCTGATAGTCAGTCCAAAATATACAACCTCACATTTGTCTGCATCTCTCAATTGTGATCGACAATCTTGTTTCCTATCTTTTGACCAACTTTCTACCCATATTACTACCTTTCCATTAATACCAGCAAAGGCCGACGCAACAACAAATTACACTTGTCTAGCGGCCTACACATTGGAAAGACGTCCCAGTACACAGAGTGAGTTGACTCCCTTTCTTCACGACCACACGAGCAAGTCAAGTGACTGGATCAGGCCAGCAAGCCTGACCCGAGGCCATGGCCAAGTGCTCGAGCTGTGGTCAGCCTGTCCGTGCCCCATCACTCTGTGCCACACTTGATCTTAGCCCAAAGGTAGAGAAGCGATTGTCTCCTTTCTACTCTTCTTCTCCCTGTGAACAGTCATCGTCCTCCCTCCCTCACTCTGTCTGCCTCCGAGGTGATCACCACCTGGGCGTATGGTGCAGGAACGCTCAGCCTCCCAGCTGCTCCGAGACAATATCCCACCTTAAGGGTGCTGTGTAAATGCAAGTTAGTTGTTGGCCTTCTTAAATTCTACCAAACCTCACCCTCCCTCCACTCGGCAGACCCTGGTCTGCCTCTTGGCCCTTCACTGCCACTCACCAGTTGCTTTCAGTCCATCTGCCTCCACTCTCTGGAACTCCATCTCGGAGTCCCCCCTTTCCCCCCCACACTTTAATCCCATCTTTTTGACACTGCTTTCAGGTACACCCCCTCCCCCAGCTTGGGCTCTCACTCAGCTGTGTGAAAGTGCTTTGAGGTGTCTCCCCCCACTCTCTCTGTTGCCCCCCGCTTTGTCACCGGTTCAATATTCCTGACTACTCCTACTTCCCCACTGCCCCCAATCCTCCCCCCCCATTGCCCCTCCACTCTTATTTCCCACCCCCCCCTCCGCTCCCAAGACCCCCACTGCTCCCCGCTTAGGGCCACCCCCCCTTCCCCCCTCAGTCTGCCACCAGTGCAGTCACAGGAACCTGCACTCCTGGAGGAAGCCAAGTTTCCAACTACACTGCGTCAAACCATCATGGAACCAACTGCCCAACTCTCCTCCTTATTGTCTCTCTCTTTTCACTCTCTCCCTTTCTCTCACTAACTCTCATTCTCTTCCAGTCTTTGTCGCTATCTTTCTCACTATCTCTGACTTTCTATCTCTGACTTTCTATCTCTGACCCTTTCCATCTCTTTTTCTCTCTCGCTCTTTCTCCCTCACACTCGCTCTTTCTCCCTCACGCTTGTGCTCTTTTGTCTCTTTCTCTCTCCCTCTCTCTTGCTATTTCTTTCGCACTCTTGCTTTCTCCTTCCCCCTCTCTGCCTCAATCTTTCCTCTCTTTCACTTGCCTTATCTCTCCCCCACCCATCCCTCCCCCCCACCCCCCCCCCGCCTTTTTCTCTCTCTCTGGCTGGCCCTGGCTGGTAACCCTCTCTCCTCTCTCAGTATCATAGGATGGCCACGTCAGCAAGCTCCAGCCTGTGCAAGCTGGTAAAGAAGCAGTACATGGAGCTGTCGCAGGGGGGGAAGATACAGGCCATGTACATCTGGATCGACGGCACGGGGGAGGCTGTGCGCTGCAAGACACGCACACTGGACTTTGAACCGAAGAGCGTCGATGGTAAGAGGTTCCCCTCACAGCGAGCCATGTTAGTACTGACTGTGTGAAAACTGTAAACCGGTGTTAATCCAGATTAACATCCATGGAACAGAAAGAAAAGGATTTTATAAAAAGTGAAGAAAATGTAGGACCAAATAGAAGTGAAAAGGGAAACCTAAGCATAGAAAATGAAGATTTGATAGTGATCCTTGATGAGGAGACCAAGTGCCTGGTCACACATGGAGAGAATATGATGGGTGACTGACCAGGGCAGTCTCGGGGCTGTGGGCAGCACACAGCAGGATTGGAGGCTCCAGTACCTTGGAGAGGAAAGGAGATGGGACGGTAGTTAGAGAACATTGTGTTGGCAAAAGGCAGGCCCTCAGTCCAGTCCAGATCCCGGCTGCATGTCAATAATTCCCTTCCTCCAACCAGAAAACCACCTCTCAGCGCTTATCCTTATCCTTCAACCAGTTTCTACTGAAACTGCTACTAGCCCACCTCTGCCATGTGGCCTGGGTGTCTCCGCCAGGTCAGGTCTTATCAAACACCTTCTGGACATTCAAATACACAATATCCACAGTATGGCCTTTACCAACACTTTCGTTGACAGTTGCTGACTTCCTGATTAACTGATTAAGTGCTCGTTCCCCGGTTACAGAGCTGCCCGAGTGGAACTTTGATGGCTCCAGCACATATCAGGCCGAGGGCTCGAACAGCGACATGTACCTGGTGCCAGCCGCCATGTACCGGGATCCCTTCCGCCGGGACCCCAACAAGTTGGTGCTGTGCGAGGTGCTCAAATACAACCGCAAGCCATCAGGTACAGCCTCCTGCACGCGCTCCCTCTCTGTTTTGCGCTCTCTCTCTCTCTCTCTCTCTGTGTGTCTCTCTCTGTGTCTGTTTCTCGCTCGCTCTGTCTCTCTCACATGCGCTCGTTCTGGCAAGCGCTCTCTCATACACTTGCTCGCTCACTCTCGCTCTCTCCCTCGCTTGCTCACGCTTGCTTTCTCGCTCATGCGCTTTCTCACACACACTCACACTCTTGCACGCACTCACTCACTCACTCACTCACACGCACTCTCTCGCACTCTCACACACTCTCTCTCTATATAGAGACTAACTACAGACGTACGTGTAATAAGGTGATGGCGCAGGTGGCTGATCAGCTGCCTTGGTTTGGGATGGAGCAGGAGTACACGCTGCTTGGCACTGACGGACACCCCTTCGGCTGGCCTTCCAACGGCTTCCCCGGACCCCAGGGTGAGAGAGCGTTAGAGAGGGCAGAATGGGAGGACAGTGGTTGCTGTGAGGGGGGAGAAGGGGGGCTGTGCGCGCGAGAGTAGTGGTGGGGTGGGGGGGTTTGTATATGAGTGTGTATGTGTGTGAGTGGGTGGAGCAAGGCAGGATGATAAGCGTATGGCTGAGTGCTATGCTGATGGACGCTGTGTGTGTGTGTGTTACTCAGGGCCCTATTACTGCGGAGTGGGTGCAGACAAGGCATATGGGCGGGACGTTGTGGAGGCTCATTACCGGGCCTGTCTGTACGCGGGCGTCAAGCTGTGTGGAACCAACGCTGAAGTTATGGCATCCCAGGTACACACTGGTGCTCACTCCCCCACTGGAGCTCTCTAATCCTGCTTTCTCCCCATCACATCTGACCATTGATATATCATTGACCATAATGAGAATAATCCTTACATTCGGTATCCATTCATTGTCATTGATATCCATTGACATTTTTATAGCTTTCCTCACGTGGGGCAGTCTTGGAACACTTAACTGTCTGATGCTGAGCCAGGACAGAGAGGAGATGCCTGTAAGCACGGTCCAAGAGAAATATCTCCAGGCATGATCTAAAAGAGCGGAAGGAGGGGCAAGGCGGAGGGACTGGGGGAGAGAGTTACAAAATGTAGGGGTGTAATGGCTGAAAGCACGACTGCCAATAGTGGAGTAGAGTGGACGAAGGACAAGCAGAAGGCCAAAGCCATTCAAGCGGAGGTAGTGAGTTGGGTCAGAGAGGCAGGGAGGTGTCAGGGTGTGAAGGGTTTTGTAGACGAGTGAGAGGATCTTGAAGTCGATCTGTTCTGTGATAAGGAGCCAGTGGAGCCTGGCGAGGACTAGGGTGATGGGGGTCCTGAATTGGTTGTAGTTTATAGATAGTGGAGCTGGGGAGAGGGGAGGTGGGGGGGGGGGCGAGGAAGACATTGGGGTAGTCAAGGGAGGCAATGAAGTGGCTGCAGTGTCTTTCATAATTTTAGGACGTCTCAAAGGATATACTCTAAAGTGTAGTGACTGTTTATTTTGTGGGCGAACGTGGCAGCCAATTTGCGCACAGTAAGGTCCTCCAAACTGGCTATGGGCTGACTGACACGGGCGCTCTGCTTCGTAGTGGGAGTACCAGGTGGGGCCGTGCGAGGGCATTGAGATGGGCGATCACCTGTGGATCTCCAGGTTCATCCTTCACCGCGTGTGTGAGGACTTCGGCATGGTCGCCTCCTTCGACCCCAAACCCATTCCTGGCAACTGGAACGGGGCCGGCTGTCACACCAACTTCAGCACCAAGGGCATGAGGAGCGCCGGAGGCCTGAAGTGAGTGAGAGAGAGATGGGGGGAGGCGGTCTGTGGGGGTGGGGTGTCTGTGGGGGTGGGGGGCTGTGGGGGGGGGGCTGTGGGGGTGGGTGGGGGGCTGTGGGGGTGGGGGGGCTGTGGGTGGGGGGCTGTGGGGGTGGGTGGGGGGCTGTGGGAGTGGGGGGCTGTGAGTTGACGGGCTCTTGTCTGGCAGGTATATTGAGGAAGCCATTGAGAAGCTGGGGAAACGTCACCAGTACCACATCCGAGCCTACGACCCGAAGGGGGGTCTGGACAATGCACGGCGGTTGACCGGCTCCCACGAGACCTCCAACATCAACGAGTTCTCTGCAGGCGTTGCCAATCGCGGGGCCAGCATCCGCATCCCCCGCTCTGTGGGGCAGGAGAAGATGGGCTACTTCGAGGATCGTCGCCCATCAGCCAACTGTGACCCCTACGCCGTGACCGAGGCCCTCGTGCGCACCTGCCTCCTGGGCGAGAGCGGGGATCAGACCCCCCAGTGACTCCCCAGGTGGGGGAGGGAAGAGAGAGGGCAGTGACACTGCGGGAGAGGGGATGACACAGCGAGTGTTTTTACCACACGAGGGGGCTGAGCTGACAATTTTGACGTGTTGGACACACTGAGATTGGCCCGAGTGTCAGTCTGTTAGTAAAGTGAATGCACAAGGTGCTGCTCGCACTCGCTGTGTCACACCAGCGCTCACACTTACTGTGTCCTCCTCTCAACCCCCTGGCTCTTTGAGATTGCTGCTCGTGTCCAGCATTCGCCAGGGACAAGTACTGTGTCCAATTTACCCTGCCTCTCTCTTCCTCATTCTCACACGCGCGCTCTCACACTCCTCTCGCACACAATCTCACACTCTCTCCCTTTACCTCGTGGTTAGAATCCGCTTATTTAAAAAAAAAGAGCCGCAGTTTTTCAGAATTAACCGGTTCATCTCCAGATTTCTAGCCAGATTTACACCCAATCCACCCTCAAGAGTGTTGTGTGTGATGTTTGTGTTGTCACTAATCCTTTTACACTATCGTATGGCATTCCAGACACCGCTGTTCGTACCCGTGGACTTCCCAGCTTCTCGTGACCCCATTGCTCTCTCACACTAACCCTGGTGACTGAGCAGCCCCACTCTCTGCTCTGTATGTTTCCAGGGTTGATGGCTCAAGGCTGCCAGGGCCATTTTGCTGTAGAATTTTTTTATTAAGGAAAAAAAACTAGATTCTTTTAAATGAGATTTTCTGTCTTTGTATTTTGGGTCATCGTCAACCCCAATAAAACCGTTTATAGAATTAACAGTTCTGGAAACTTCTCACGTGTGTCGGTCTCTGTGTGTGTGTGTGTGTGTGTGTGCGTCAGTCTGTGCGAACGTATGCATCAGTCTGTTCACGTGTGTGTGTGTGTGCGTCTGCAAGTCGGGATATCTGCCATTTCCCCCCCCCCCACCACCACTTGCCAACCCCCTCATCACCCACTCCTCCGCCACATTTACCACTGCCTCCCCCTACACTCCTTTGCCCCCATTTCTCCTTCCCCTAAACCATCTCCAACACCAAGCCCACCACCTATTGTCACACCCCCTTCTCACCCAGCTCCTGGTCACTCACCTCCCCGTCCTCTGGTCCTTGGTGGCTGACAGAGTCAACCAGTCACTCTACTCAGGCTCTGTCCCACTCACCCTCAAAACTGCTGGCATCATTCCCCACAAAAAAATACATCCTTGATCCCTTATACCTTACAAACTACCGTCACATTTCCAACCTGCCTTTCTTTGCAAAAGTGGTGGAAAGCGTTGTTGCAAAACACCTTCGCTCACACCTCTCACTTCACTCTACTACTCGAGCCCCTCCAGTCCGGTTTTCGCCTGCCCATAGTACAGGGACAGCGCCAGTGAAAATCACTAATGGAAGTCCTTTCTCTCTGTGACCAGGGCTCCTCGTTCTCCTGGACCTCCCCTCACCCTGACCATTTCCCCCCTGCTCGGGTCATGACCCAACTGTGCAGCGCCTTGGGACGTCCTCCTGACGTGAAAGGCGCTTTATAAATGGAATCTTGTTGTTGTTGTTGTTGCTTTTGACACAGTCGATCATGCCATCCTTCTCCACCTTAGTGTAACCACACTTGCTTGGTTCGAGTTAAACATAACCAACCACCATCACCTCGTCTCTGCAAAGTATTTCCTCCCGCGCCCCCGCCCGGTCACCTGTGGGGTACCCCAAGGCTCCATCCTTGGCCCCTTCTTTTCCTCATCTATATGCTCCCTCTCAGTGATGTCATCCGCAGACATGGGGTAAACTTCCACAATTATGCTGATGACACCCAAATCCACTTCTCCTCAACCAGCTGTGACTTTAGGTCCACTGATGTTCTATCAGCCTGTCCGACATCAAGCTCTGGATGAGCGCAATCTTCCTATAGTTGAATGTCAACAAGACAGAAGCCTTGGCTCCTGTCAACATCGTCTCCTAAGCAGCTATCCCAACACATACTTAGCCCAGCTTTGCCGAATACTCTCTGAATTAGGTAAGTGGGATGGATCCCTCCAGGGAGCCACGTACATTCCATTCCAATAAATATTGTGGGAATTTCCATGCAGGTGAGATACACAGAACTCTCTGTTTGGCCTGTGGAGATGTTACCTTTTGGATGAGATGATAAACCATCTGCCTGCGGAGGTGGACATTAATGATTCCATGGCACAATCCGGCAAATAAAATTTATCATCAGGCCTGGATGAGCGCCAACTTTCTGCAGCTGAATATTGACAAGACAGAAGCCATCCTTCTTGACTCCTGTCAACGTCTCCTCAACTGTGGCTCTGACCAGTCTATCCCTCAGACTCACTGAACCATGTGCAAACGAGGTTACAGGTTCAATTCTCAGCTGTCCTTCCTCCCCCCACATCTGGAGTCAGACCACAAAATGCAGTCAATCCACTTTATATTCTGTGAAGTGCGTTGAGACGTCACAAAAATGTGATAAGGCGCTGTATCAAATGCAAGGATTATTATGATAACCAGGACTGCTTTCCTCCACCTCCGTCACATTGTCTGCCTCTGACCCCACCTCACCACCAACACAGATCCTTGTCCACATCTTTCTCACGTCCCGCCTCAACTAATCAAACTCTCACCTCATCGGGCTACCCACTACCAACAAACTACAACTGATCCCAAACTCCACCACCTGTATTCTCACCCACACTAAACGCCGTACCCCTCCGTGTGTGTATGAATGTGTGCTCTCGCCAGTCACACTGGTAACCCAGAGGAAACCGTGCCCTTTCTGACCTGTCAGTATTTACACACCTGAGTCACAACACGCAGGTCACTCTGGCTCAATCACAAGGTCTTTGGCCTCTCAGCCAGAAGGTCATATGCTCCAGCCCCACGTCAGGAATCGGAGCTGACAATCTTGGCTGGGATGGAGTTTGGGAGCGCTGCCTTGTCAGAGGTACTGTCCTTCTGATGAGCCATTAAACCAAGACCCCATCTCTGTCTGTTCAGGTGGACGCTGAAGATCCCGCGGGGCTATTTGAAAAGAGTTTCTCCTGGTGTCCTGGCCAACAATCCTCCACATTAATTTAGTCATTTACTTCATAGCTGTTTGTGGGATATTGACTGCCATATTCGCCTATATAAAAAAAAGTCATGATACTTTGTCAGCTTGGCTCAGTGGTAGCGCTCTCGCCTCTGTGTCAGCAGGTTGTGGGTTTGAATCCTACATCAGGACTTGACATCACGATAGTCTAAGGTGACACTCCAACTCAGCACTGGGGGAGCACTGTATTGTGGGGGGTGCCGTCCTTCAGATGAGATGTTAAAATTAGGTCCCATCTGCTCGTTCAGGTGGATGTTAAGCATCCCATGGCACAATTCCAAAAGAAAGGGAGTTTCTCTCTCCTGGTGTCCCAGCCAACAATCCCCCCAATAAAATTGGTCACTCACTCCATGGCTGTTTGTGGGACATTGGGTGCCCAATTGTGCTGCTGCGTTTGCTGACAAATGTACACTCACTACACTTCACAATAAATACTGCGAAGCGCTCTGCAATGTCCACCAGACATGAAAGGCACTGTTTGAAATGCAGGATGATTATTATGGCCTTGAGTCTTGGTGATGGTGTGACAGCTTCTGATCATAGCAAAGCACTTGAGCCGAGGTATTAGTGTAAAACAATTAGTTAGCGAGACTGGCTCCCTGCAGTGACACATGTGGAACAGCTGGCCAGTATCGGGGGGAGGGGTAAATCAGCAGATGAAGAAGTTGTGAGACAACATGCTCAGCACAAATGGGAAGGGCGAGTATAAATTGGTGAAATCTGACCACAGTGACCGGGGCCATGGTGTAGAATTTTGAACACAAGATTATGAGTAATGCTTTGTTGTGTGAGTGGGAAGTGTGGGGGAGGGGATATGGACTTGTTTTGCAACCTTTCCCCTAGTTTTACAGCTTCAGGGAGCGACCACCACTTCCTTATAACAGCCCGGCTCAGGATTGCTACCTCCTGTCCCCTCCCCCACGCACCCTCCCCACAACCCATCACCCCGACCCTCACCGTCCCTCAACCCCCACACTCACCCCCCTCATCCCCCACCCTCACCCTCCTCATTCCTCACCCCCCCGCCCTCACCCCCAACTCACTCCCCGCATTCTGGATGGAGTCCTGTAGCTCAGTGGTTGAGCACTCGCTTTGCAAGCTAGAGACCTGAGTTCAATTCCAGGCAGGGCGAAACCTTGGGCAAGTTTCCTTACTCCACACGCCTAATAATAATCCCTCCAAAAAAAAAAAAAACAATAATAAATTGGTCATTTTCAATCCATGACTGTTTGTGGGACATTGCTGTGCGCAATTGGCTGCCGCGTTCGCCCACAAATATACAGTCAATTCACTTTACAGTGTGTTCTGTGAAGCGCTTTGGGACGTCCTCCCGACGTGAAAAGCGCTATATCAAATGCAAGGATTATTATTATTATTATTATTCAGCTCCTCGCTCCCCACCCTCACCCCTCCTCACATCCCATGCCATGAATAACAAGAACAACTTGCGCCCCTCACACAAGGTAGTATCCCAGAGCACTTCACAGTGGCTGAGTACGACATCGAGCTGGAGGGAGTGGAGAGGTGAACACAGTTGAAGAGGAAGGTCTTCAGGCACGACCTGAAGATGGGGAAGGAAGGGACAAGGCGGACGGATAGAATTTCAGGACATAGTGGAGCGGAGGGCACAAGGGATGTGCAGGAGGGTGGAGCCAGTCGAGCAGAGGCAGCAGGTAGTGAGTTGGGAGTAAGCAGGTCGGAGAGGTAGAGAGGCGCCAGAGCACGAGGTGATTTGAAAACAAATGTGAGGATCGTGAAATCAATCCTATCGACGATAGTGAGCTAGTGGAGCCTGGCTAGAACTGATGTGATGGAGGTACAGATTTTAGTACTGGTGAGTATGTGGGTGGCCGGAAGGGAACATAGGGGAGGAGGATGCAGCGAAGCGGATATTTTCAATCTTTGTCTAGGACCCCTTTGCAGTTGGCGTTGGAAGTGAGGATGGGGGCAGCTGGGCATGGGGGGGAATGCGCGGAGGAGGTAATGGATGGTGGAGAGTAGTGCCTTTGGGTTGTTTTTGGTCTACAAAATGGTTTGGGAGTAAAAGGCTGTTTTGGCCTGCAAGAGGGAGAGGCGATAAGTGCAGAGATGCTCAAGCCACAGCGGGGGGTGGATTGTGAGGTCGGATTTAATAATAATAATAATCTTGCATTTGATATAGCACTTTTCACGTCTTTGAGACAACTCAAAGTGCTTCACAGAATAGACTGTAAAGTGAATTGACGTATATTTGTGGACGAAATGCGGCAGCCAATTGCGCACAGCAGTGTCCCCACAAACAGTCGTGGATTGAAGTGACCAATTTTTTTTTTTTTTTGAGGGATTATTATCAGGCGAGTGGAATAAAGAAACTTGCCCAAGGTTACACCCTGCCGGGAATCGAACCCAGGTCTCTCGCTTGCAAAGCGAACGCTCTAACCACTGTTCCATCTGCGCTCGACAATCCACGTTTTCATTTTGAGGCAGTGGTGGTGACTGTCATACCAGGGGGAATGGGTAGATTTGGAGCTGGACCTGGATTTAAGAAGGGCAAGGGTTCTGAGGGTTGCAGAGAGGATCGTTGTGGGTGGAAGTCCATAGGGAAAAGAGATCCAAGTGAGGGACTTAGGTGGAAGCTTTTTTCCAAGGTTGGAGAAAGATGGTGGAGGGCTTGGAAGAGGGGAGGTGAATGCGGACGGAGAGGGAGATGAAGAAATAATCT